TATTCCAAAAAATAATTAAAAGACTTTTGAAACCACTTAATATGAGAATATACTCAACCCATTCCGAATACTAAGAAAAATGTCATCCCAGCCCCAAATATATTCTTGATAATACTGGTATAGCTGTTTACGTTCAGCGTGCATGAGTTGTTTATACTGTCCAGCTGTGTTTATATATGTATATGAACTGCCGTAAAGATTCTAGGCTTTCAGAACATAAAAGGGCCACAGACATATCATATTGAACTTAGCTCTTGCGTAACCTTATTATATTTCTGACCGTGCAACAAACTGGAAAGGATGGAAGTTCGTTGATCGGGGTTACAACCAGATTGCATTATTGTTGTCAATTGTAGCGTGCTTAAAACTCAGTTATGACAATGATGCTTATAACAATCCTAGTGTGTCTTCGTAGTTTTAAAAACTTTCGTTCATTAATATTTTTGTGATATATGGCAGTGCTCTTATACTATTGGTTTGTCACTTTGCCAAGAAATATTTTTCTATTTAAGTTTAAAGATGTTTTTTGTACATCTTCCCATGTATTCTTGACGAAGAAAGTTTTGTCTTTGAAAAGTTGGGGGGGGGGGCTTTAACGTTCAAATCAAAATTACTTTTCGAAAAAGCCCCCCTAATAGCTCAGCGGCAAGTCCAAGGGCTTACACCACTAAAAACCGAGTATCGATACTCGTGGTAGGCACAGCACAGATAGCCCATAGTGTAGCTTTGTGCTTAACAACAAACAAACAAACGTGCTGAAAACATACAAACTAGCAGATGTACGGTGAGAGGTTTATGAAACTGTTTTCTGAAGTATGACAGTAATAATAAAGAAGTTGAAAGTACATAAGAATCTAATTATTCATATCCACTGGGCTTTATTATTTAAAAACATTTTTTATGTTAGTTTTTGTTTTATTAAAAGTAATAAGTAAAAACATTTCACTTAATATAAGTGTTTCTATCTTGAAAGTACCATATTGGCCCGATTATAAGGCGATGTTTTTTTATTCATAATTAGGCTATAAAATTCATAGTCGCCTTATAATCATGGCTGATCACAGACCCCTTTCCCCTACTCTAGCCTGTCCACGCATGTGCGCCAGATGTTCACTCAAGTTAATCGTAAAACAAACAAACAAATGTCATCTATCACACATCATTTTCCCTAAAATTCAACTTATAAATTTAAACCTGTTCTAAACGACAAAAAGTTTCGAAAAAACCTATCTAAGGAGTACGATTAATGAGATACATCCTAGGTCAAAATATACCACATATCACATAAAACTGTATTGAAAACTATCTACCAATTACACTTTGTTCTCAAACGCAGATACAAGGTTGAGTACCATATGTCAAATTATTTTTTTAACAGGCATATCAAGAAGCCACGTGACAAACAGGCGATATGACGTATCGGTGGAACGTCACGTATCAGAACTACATTTGGAAATTATTTAGAGTTACATAGGTAATGTGATACTACGGGAAATTGGTCGCTTTTGGGAAGGGTATGTAACAGCCTATTCCGATGCAAAATATTCTTACACTCAGATCTTACAGACGCATTCAGAACTGAAACATAGTATTTATAACATGGGCATATCCCTTTTGCTTAATGAAATTGGTAAGCAAAGGAATATGGATCAGTTTGGAGTTCTAGAGCCATCTACAAAGAGATCTGCAACAAGTCATATCCCAGTCGTGGTAATCAATGTGCGGCACCTTGTAGCACGTGATAATCCACGAACAAAAGCTGTCTACATGACCAAAGCAACAATACGCAACGCCGTCAAATAGTATCTGCATCTGGAAACAAATCCAAAATTGCAGGGCTTTCAGTTATACCTCTCATTCAATCATCACATACTATAAACAGTTGGAAAATAAAACGATTATTCATGTTATGCCATAGAAAAGGATGACAGACAATCTCCGGAAGCAGTGCCTATGCTTTTCTATGCGATCGAACTGTTGAAATAGGTACTGGCCCAAAAACATCCTTCTCCCACTATATGAAATATAGAAAACCAGTAGGAAGGAGTGGTGTGCTTTGGATATAACAGCCTTACGAGAGAGCCCTTTGCAGTGGAAACTACACTGCAAGCTATTGTCAAGATACACAATTAGCAAATAGAGCATGACTAGACGTGGCGACATAGGCTATAAGGACGTAATGAGGCTTCAAAGTCGTTTCAAAATAGCATATTCAGCCCTCTGTATTAGTTTAAAACCTGTTCATGAGAAACTACATATCTACTTAAATAATTAAAAAACATCACATGCCAGCTACAACGTGCTTCTGAAAACACCATACATTGCCTGCAACATCTAAAAATCCAAATCAGTGACAACTAACTAAAACAATTGCTTGATAACTTGTTTTAATTATTTTGTGATTTTCTGATTAAAATAGGCTAGCAATAATTATAGTGAACTGAATATCATAAAATAGTATAACATACATTAGCTAACCAAATAATGCAATGAAAACTTTCAGTACTGCCGTTGATAAGTGTTCTGGAAAACCAAACCAGGTAATGGAGAAAATCAAGTCACAAGAAAACATTCCAAGACTGAAACATTAGAGAGGAAAAATTCGCGGTTCATATTATCATTGGAAAACAGACGCTAGTGATTCGACAAAGTCGGCAGTATATTTCTGAAGGTTAAGATGAGACATTACACGTCTGGGAAAAGTTCAGATGTGAAGAAGTAATGAAATTACAAAAAGAAATTTAGGCCCTGGAAAGCGGATGCATATGCCAGATAAACACGTGTAGGCCGAACGTCAAGTGGCCTTGATTCTAGACACTATAGATATGTCTATAATTATAGACACTATATTAAGAATTGTGGGCTGAGTGTGAGAAATCAAATACAAAATAAAAATTAGTAAGACATCATAGTATTGTGGACAAAATAGTTGAGCCAAGGTTAGAATCACGTGTTATGGTTACGGCTTTGGAAAATTACCAACGTTCCATCACACTAGCTTCATGCAAGTTAAATTAATGTTTCGCTTCGTCTATTGACGTAAATTCTCCAGTATATCTATAGAATTATTAATAATTGACGAGGTTGATCTGTTATTAAATGTCGTAACATCCTAATGAGTATATTAGCGGAATTATTAAGAGACAATCCAAATTGTTGTAATTAATTTACATGTATTATATGTACATGTGGTATATATGTTATGAATAAATATATGTTTTATGTTCTTTTCAATGTGCTGATGGTATTCTTTGTTCTTTACGTAAACCTCCCCGAGTTGATGGCCTTACTCACAACTGCATAAAAATATCCTGGAAATAAATAAATTTATTTGTAACGAGTGGAAGTCTAATCTACGACTCAGTACACATCATCCACCTGTTACGTACTTCAGGAAACACCACATGTCAGCTTCAGTACTTAAAAATTGAAATCAACTACAATATGCTTCAGGAAATATCACACACCGCCTGCAACATCTAAAAATCCAAACTAGCTACAATATGCTTCGCATCACATCAAAATACTCTCATGCATTTTTTTCTTCTGCAGTCTAAATTTTGTTGTTACCATAATCTTTAAATACACATTTATCATATTCAAAATGAAATTAACTTTAAAAAACACATTGTTGATTTCTGTATTGCTAAAAATTCAGATTATAGTGAAACCCTGCCAACTAAACAAACTACGGACTATATTATAGGTAATAACGAATCTGTAGATATCCTGTAGAAAATAATCAGTTCCTATTGAATGATTGGATAGGAATGTCTGACCGATGTGTCCCCTTTTTTAATTTTAATTTTGAAAAACTAGTTCTGTTTTGAATCAAAAATAGTTGGCATACCTATATCTGTTTTGTTTTTAATCTTAATTTGGCCAGAGTTTCAAGGTTAAGATAAAACTGAAAATATCCAATATTAATAATGTGACAATATATAACATATTTCCCGCCTTTAATGAGAAAGAGCCTTGTATGCTTGTACCTACATGTAACTTATGAAACACACATCATCTTAGAATCTTCAATTCGTTGTTCTTTCTTTCCTTATTTTTGCGTTATGACAAAATTAAATATACCGTAAGTTATTTTAGAGTATCTTATAATTGACTTATAATTGAAATATCCTAACAATACCCCAAAAAAGTCCTATAGAAAAATAACGATCCACGTTTATTACATTCCAAAATAAAATGTGTTTAAATATCGATCTACAGCCTTTCTGTGGAATAAATACCAAATTCTCATTTATTCAGAAAAGCATGCATAGTCTTACAGTTCATGTTGGTTGAAAAGTAAGTTATGAATTCACGTAAAGCTTGGCGTAAAAATATACTAATTTACAAATTAATAATGGAACTTCATATTCACTAATACAAGGCTCTAGTTTCCTTTTTATAGCATCTTGTTTTTCTTATCGTCATACAGTTTTCATCTTTTAAATAGTTCTTATGCAAATTTATATATATATATATATTCATAAGCATTAAGCTAGTATGTGAATATAAAATAAGTTTAATACTTATCGTTTTAGGACAAATATTGAATTAAGCAAAACCCAGGCAATTATTATGTAGTCCTTTCCATACTTGCTGTGTTATAATGTTTGAGCAAGAATAACATTCACCTTATAGACCTGGCAGAACTATCTTTTAAAATATGTGAATTCAACAACACCTTTTCGGTATTCCTGAGAGTCAATTAGATTATCAAAATACCCGGATGTTTTGTTTATCCTCAGATGGGTGCTATAGCTTGTGAACCTTTTCAACGTAGCACTCTATTGGTTATCTTGAAACTAGTCAGAGAAACTAGGTTTTTTAATTGGGTAAAGTTCAGGAGTGGTATATCTCTAAAACAACTGGGATGCTTGACCAATACAACAAGCTGAAGATGGTTGTCGCTGGTCAGATTCATCGTAACAAAGTGGTTAGTCATCATTGGAAAGGTCACTATAGAGATAAAACAAATGACGATTTTCTACTACTTTTGACACCTAGATGTTCTCATTCTTCCCTAACAGAGGCAAAGCTGCACTTCTCTGTCTGTGGACTACTCGTGATTCAGGCTTCATTTCCCTTTTCTTTAACAACATGGAAAGATCTACACTTTTAGGGATATGGTAAGAAAAGGGGGTGGTATTGTCTTCTAAAGTCTTTTTCTCTTTTTTAAAGAGACACGCTACCTGGCTTGGCTTTGATTTGTCCAAGGAACCTATATGGTTTTGAAATTTGCTATACCAGTCGTTCGTAGAAGATTCCTGAAGATTCTCTAAACGTGTGGGTAAAATGGCCTGGGATGCCCTGGAACTTGAATGAAATGAGTATGATTGTTGTTTTAAATGTTCTTGTGGGAATCCTTCTTTACAGTGTGGTATATCTAGCTCATTATCTTCTGCTGGCCAAACTTCTTCATCCGAACTTCTGCATGGATTAATCCCTTTGATCTCGTTCTCTAGAAGAAACGTTTTTGTGGGTATTGAATGACTAAGGACTTCACCAATTCCTCTCAATTTCCCACTGGAATCTGACTCTCTTCTCTGTCCTTTTGTCATTGGACCATTCTTTAATCTCTGGTTTATTCCAACCACGTGAAAATGTGTACTTCGTCTTTCCTCGATTCCTTGTAGCTTACCCTGCCTCCTTGATACCGTATCATAATCTTTAGGAGGAAGTAGAATAGGACAAGAGTTACGATTGTTGAATCTTTCACGCAGTTCGGCTGCTACAGAGTCATACGGACTAGCGATATTTTCTGTACATTTACCAAGCATATCTTGATCTGAGCTGAAGAAGTCATCACTTTGGTCGGAATCATCGGTCCTTGTGCTGTGTCCGTCAGAGTTCAGTTTTCTACGAGGAAAGAGAAAACCCTTGGCTGTCAAGTGTGTCTCAGTCTCTCCCAACATTTTCTGGTTTTCTATTAGCAATGAGATTTGGTTTCTTAGCGTTGTGGCTGTTTCGACGCTATCACATCTATAGGCGTACACATGGATTGCACACTTCATCAGTGCATTGTATATTACAAGAATAACACACACGATATCATCATGTGGATTCGACTCTTGAGTCACACTTGTGATGGCTTGCTTAGGAATAAAATGCTTGTTCGATTCACTCTTCTCTCCGTTGATTTTCCTTGAAACGTTCTGTATAATCTTAAGACCTTTGTTACTAACCTGAAGGGTTACTTTCATTGGTTCCAGTTCCCGTTCCTTCTCCAGAAGTTCGTAAAGAACAGGACGAATGTACTGTCCCCCCTTTAATCCTTTGCTCTCTTTAGCTCCTAAAAACCACACATAGTATGACTGTTTACTTACGTATTTCTGCTTTTCTCCAAGCAAAGCCATAACGTTGATAACAAAACGCACCCACACGCAGCCACTGTATATGAGTTTTCTCTCCAAAACACCAAACAAAAATATACTTAAAGCTTACCGCTACAGTGTGGTCAGTCACATATCACTAACTGGAGGTACTTTTACTAGCCAAGACGTGATACTGTACTTTAGGTGCGACTCTGCTTGGTATCGCTGCAAAGTAAACCCAATCTGTCATCAGCTACTGAGTATATGAAGCTAAAATTTCGTGCTCTCTTAACTACGGGCGTCCAATCACAGCGCTCCATACAATATCTTACACGTAAGCCTTCTCTCCTAGTGGCTGTTCTCTCTCCCTTGGTACTTTTTGTAGTGCGGAGGAATACCAAGTTTTATAGAACTAACCTGAGTCTGTTCGGTATTCTTTACCTGAGGCCTTTAACTCTAACTGCAGTGTCCTGCGTTGTCTGCCTAGTGCAGTGTCGGATTGCGTTAAGGATGATCAGCAGTTTCTGTACCAAACGTTATCTGGTGATATCAAAATAGACAGTGCCTTCTCCTGGAAACACAGTAGATAAAAATGTGTATATAAATAGCATCATGGCACATTCAAGCAAATGTACGTACTTAACTTATCTTGTGCATTTACCTTCACACTATATATATTGTTAAAGTTGGTATCTTCTGAAGTGATTACGACTATTAATTTATTTAAATTATTCTAGTAATATTCTTATATGGTTTGATCTATGAGTTAACGTAGCTCATTGGGGTAAACCTTCCATAGAAGAATCATTTATTGTTTAGGAACTTCTCAACACTCTTTAGTCCGATGTTAACAAACAAATCCTTTAACATTTTTACAAACTTTAAAGCCCCCCAGTGGCACAGCGGTATGTCTGCGGACTTACAATGCTAGAAAAGGGGTCTCGATACCTATGGTGGACAGAGCACAGACAGCCCATTGTGTAGCTTTGTGCTTAACTTCAAACAAACAAACAAACTTTAAATAGCTATTTGTTAAACGATGTTGCAAACACTGCCAAATATCGAGCAAAGATATTGACTATTAAACTCTTCAGAACTTGTCCAAACTTGCATCTCCTAAACATTTCGTCCAAAAGCAACCAAAATTTGCCAGACATTTAGGATAATAATCATTAAACATTTTTTTAAATCGTCCATACTTTAACTAGGCCTGTTATTTCTTTAACTCTTAGTCCAAATGCAGTCACTGATTTTGGAAAGAAAAATTAAGATAGGATATACTAGATCAGTTAAAAATCGTCTAACCTTTGATTAGGTCGTAACTTCTCAATTGTTCAAATCCAGTCAAAATTTATAAAAAGAAATTTCAGACAAAAACCACTAGAGCTATTTAAAATTAACCAAACTTTAAACAAGATGTACTGACCCTTTTGAAATTAGCCAAACTTTAAACAGGATGTACCGACCCTTTTAAAATTAGCCAAACTTTAAACAGGATGTACTGACCCTTTTGAAATTACCCAAACTTTGAACAGGATGTACCTACCATTTTAAAATTACCTAAACTTTGAACAGGATGTACCTACCATTTTAAAATTACCCAAATTTTAAACAGGATGTACCGACCCTTTTAAAATCACTCAAACTTTAAACAGGATAAACCGATCTTTTTAAAATCACCCACACTTTAAACAGGGTGTACCTCCCGAAAAGTTCGTCCAAAGTTTGAAAAATAAAGGTAATCTGGCTTAAAATTTCTGATAAGCTCCTGTAAAACTCAAAATTAATACATAAACTAAGCCATACTGGTAGATTCTCATTTTAAAGATCGATATATATATAGTTAACTATTTGTTCTTCCTAGAAACATTTGTTACCATCAGAGCAAGTTTTGATACATTCACGATAATAATATTATAAATAAAATGATGCATCATTCTAAGAAAATTCAACCGTCGTATTTATATCTTAAAAAATTCTTGTATGTTATAATGTTTTAAACTGAAACTTAAGAGCTCGTAAATATGTATGATTCTTTAGAAAATTAAAGCGTTACACTTTCAAACTTCATGATAACCTACTCTGCTCTATGTCAGAGTCTTACAAAACTCGCTGACATTAACACATTTTAACTAGATGTGTGTTACAAGCTGGAATGCGCATGTGTGTTTTTTAATACCCGTTCCTGTATGACTAACCGTAATAGACTTATAACATTATATGCTAACATTCAAGCATGCAGAATACAGAATTTTGAAGTGACTGAACTAACATATGGTGGATGTGTTCTTGGAATGTATAATACACTTACGATGAAGATATTTGGTTGTAGGTATTCAGCCTTGGAGTGTTAATTATTTGATAGTATTGAAGATAAGGGAACATGAAAGTGTTAACCCACTGCTATGACTCGAGGCATTATTTTCAAACTGTGCAGAGCGCTTTTAATCGGCACATACGATACAGGTGTACAAAAATTAAAACAAACGTGTGATTCTTTGCTTCTTGGTTTATTTTGGTGAATTTCGCATAAACCTACACGAGGGCTATCCGTATTTACTGTCCCTAATTTTGAAGTGATAAACAAGAAGTAGCTAATCAACGCCATCCACCGCCAACTTTTGAACTACTCTTGCCACACTGAATAGCGGGATTTGACCGTCACTCTTATAACGTAGCAGTAACGGGGCGCAAACCATAGAACCTGAGATTTATAGTCCGGCTCCCCCACCCCTCTCCGGTAAGAGTAAGGGTTTCTAATGCTAAAATTCGGATTTCAATACCCGCAATGAGCAGAGCGCTGATAAAATATTATGTAGCTTTGTGCTTACTAACAAACAAACAAAGAAACTACGCTCGGCTCAGAAACATATGAAAAATTATAATTACATAAATTAACTTATAAGCAATAACCAAAATTGCGTTTTTAAACAATATCAACGTGAAAACTCAATAACAGCTTCCTCAAAACACGAAGTTATTTTATGTGAAACCTTTATATAATGTAGTTTGAAAGTTATCAGAGAAAGACTTTATGATTGAAAAAATATATTGAGGATGTAAACTCCTGTTGTCCTCCGATGGGTCAACTGTAAGTTTAAAGACTTACAATGCTAAAATTCGAGATTCGATTCCCGACAGTGGACAAAGTTCAGATAGTCCAATGTGTAGCTTTTGCGCTAAAACAAACAAATTACTGCGAGTGTTAGGTTTATTATAGACTATTAATTAATAACAATACTTACTTTTAAATTTGATATAAGATGGTTTTTACTGTGGGTGTTGGGACCATTATAAAGTGTTAAAGTCACTTAATATTAAGTTTGCTATAAGCTGGTTTTTACTGTGGGTGTTAGGCCCATTATAAAGTGTTAAAGTCACTTAATATTAAGTTTGCTATAAGCTGGTTTTTACTATGAATGTTAGGCCCATTATAAAGTGTTAAAGTCACTTACTTTTCAGAGCCTCTATCAATGGAACTAACTATTCTCTACACGTCTACATTACTTCGTGAAATCTGGCGATGGTTTGGACCTCTTACTTTAATCGTTAATTACACATTTATTCGACGACCTCAAATAACAATAGACTAATTTCAGTAAAATTATAAACAAGTATATAGATTATAGCCTCTATGAGAACTGGCCGTTAAAGTCACACCGGTAAGAATGAATGTTTATCATGATTAGTTATCAGTAGCAAAGCTACAAGGGCTATCTGGACTGGTCGTCCCTTGTTTTGAACTGATAAATTAGAGGGACGTCAGCTAGTCAATACCACTCACAACTAATTCTAATACGTTTCTTCAATATGCGCCATCTCTTGATGATTATTTTTTTCTCCAGTCACTTATCTAGAGTACATAAATAATTGTACGAACTTTTATGGGTGTAGACATCAAAGTTATAAAAATTTCAACAGTTAGATCAATTATGACTGTTTTATCTTGAAATACATAATTTATGTAAGTGGTGATTAGTAAAACCTGCATAAATAACATTTAGTATTCACCTAAACTGATTATCAATATGAACTTCTGAATGAAAGCAAAAAAAATAATATATAATAATATGTCAACCACATCATATCTACTATATCTAGTTCCGACGAGGTCTTTCGGCAATACCAGAGCTCTTCATGACCACCAAGACTGAACTGTTTTGGAAAAAGAAAGTAAAAATTTGTCGAGCGCTGTTATTAATATTATCTTAAAAACCTGAAAATAAATGTTCAACGTACCCATTACTTGGGTCAAAATATTAAAGATTAGTATTAGTAGGACCAATAAGTACCAAAATACTATTTTACTACTTTACCTATTTAAGAAACAAAATCTGCTGACAGACATATTCTGACCACAGCTCGAAAACGCCTAAAAGGATTATGTCTTACAGCTAAGTTAGAATTTCGGATGGGTCAAACTTACACGAACAACACTAGTATACTAGTGGTATACTAAGAAAATTGATGTGTGTAAAAAGTTGTTTCTACTGCCTGTGGACATTAACTAAAAGTAGCTATTAACTCACATCAAGATACTGGTAGGGTCAATCATTTCGAAATACCTAAGCATCTACGAAAACGAGATCAAGGCTCCTTTTAAGATTATTTTATCTAAAAATTCGTACTGAATATGATACTTAATGGCATACGGGAACAATGGAAACTTTTTATGAAAAATTTATATATATAAAGTGTTATGTTTTGACCATCAAGTAGTACTAAAGATCGAAAAGGCTAGTACTGATAATAAAGTAAATACTTTGGAAAGCACAACCCAACTTACTGAATAACTATTTTACCGATATAATCATACAATATTTTTATTTTATACGTTAAATTCATTACTATTATCATATGCTAGATATGCCAGAAATCGCAGTGTTCAACATCAACTTTAAATATAATAAAACATGTAAGATTCGGTACGACATTACGATGGTTAGAGATACCAGAAATCGCAGGGTTCAACATCAACTTTAAATATAATAAAACATGTAAGATTCGGTACGACATTACGATGGTTAGAGATACCAGAAATC